CTCTCACTGTTCTTTATAAAATAACTTTCTTGATTGTGTTAGTTTGTTTCTGAGTGTGTGTGCATTATTATTTAGGTTTCTCGCTTTGAGTGTACACGTTTTATTATGGAGAATCACTGAGTAAATGCATAGCTGGAATCAACATAAGTATTTATAGGGCTATTAGTTTAGTTGTTCTGGTATCATCTACTTGTGTTTTTTGTAAGGCAGATATGATTTCGTATTATACACATCATAGTAAACATATTTTTTATCCAGTGAAAAGTGTTTGGGCTATGTCATCAGTTTTTTTACTATTTCATATAACAAAGGAAACTGTTGACAAAGCTTCCTTTTTCACTTAACATACTACATACTAAACATACCCTCATTTATATCCTGTAAAGATTACTCTCTTATAAGTATCTGTCTATTTTGAAAAGATTTTGTTTGGAGAATGGGTATGAGCATGACACACTGTATTAAATTTGTAGAAATTCTGTTGATTATACCTTGGTCGAATTTTATTATAAGTGAAAACTTGCTGCTGATCATTACATCCACATATACGAGAATATCAACTAGGTTAATGTACAGGCACACTACTGAAATTTAACTTCTTGTAACTTTGAGAGCTCCTTTGAAAGAAATCTTTTGCCACTGCCAAAATTACTTTGGTGAAAACTTACAAGCATTTTTGTTCTTATTTCAAAACCATTCATTGAGGATACTTTTTTGGTTCTACAATAGTAACTCTTAATAAAGAAACTAAAGCTAAGCACATGTAGTTGTCATACTGCCAGACAATGGAGGTCAACAGTTATTACGTACAACACCTGGAAGCAGTTTTTTCATAAAGTTTATTCTAAAGTTCTTTTTATAATGTTACAATATATATAATAAAAGGGTACTGTTGGTAAAATAAAAAGGTTCCAAATGTTGAAGGCTTGTGTTGCATTCTTATTTTTTTATAACTTGTAGAAATAAGATATGATGATTAAAATACATGTGCAATTAACTTTTTGTATTGGGCATTTTAAATTATGATTGTGTATGTATTTTAATCGGGGGCAAATTTTGGCCCTTAAGATAATGTGCTTTATTTTCAGTAGCTGCTCTTGTAATTAATACATGTACTGTGAGCTAAATACTGGTTGATTTGAAAAGTATTTATGAATAAAATAACATTGAGGGACTGGAGTGTCTTATTGATGTGGAAATAATATAACATTGTGTGAAAAAATACAATAAAAGATAACATTATTCTTGGAAAAATCTGCCAAATTACAAAAATTTATTCTATAGCTAATTTCTGTAAGCATATTAATTATTTATCTCTATTTTTGTGTGTGATATTTTCTGGTTTGCATATTTCCTTCAAAGTAGACAGTTGGGGCATGCTAACTGGAGGTTTGAAAGATATTGAGTGTCTGCTTATCTGTCCAATCTCTGAGTTCATTAGAATAAAAGAGTCAAATTACAGAAGGTACACAAGAATAATCTTCTTTTTAACACAAAACTAAATCACAAACATAATTACTATCACAAGGCAACAAAATGGGGAACAAGTGGGTCTGTTGTGGTTGTGTTGGACTGGCAAGAGAGATAAAGGATGTGAAACTTTTATGAGCTCTATCTTATTAGTCTAGGGTGTGCATCCCTGCTGCTGTAAGGTAAGCTACATCAGTGTAATATTTAAGTAAACCCAAAGTTAAGTTAAAATAAAACAATGTCTTGCATTGTGAGCTCAAATATAGCACTATACTTTTTAAAACTCTAAAACAAAGTTATTATAAAAAATCTCTAAAGAAAATTTAAGGGAAAATTTTTACCAATATCTCAGCTCAGTTACATTATGTATTCAATGTAAAAGGTAAAGTTATAGTTCAATTCTAAGTTTAGAAGTTAAGTAAAATTTCTGTAAAATCTGCAAAACAAAGGAGAACCTGGCTTTTCATATGAAATGTACAATAGCTCTTTAAGTTAGGTTTGCACATCAAAAACTACCCTTCATGTGATCTCCATCCACTAGAGCTTGAGTGCTGAGGTAGAAGTAGTCCTGGGCCATTACTCAATTGGCTGACAGAAAATTTTCTTTCCTGAATGTTACATGTTGTCTTCCTTGCAAGAAACTTAATTAATTGCTAATAAGTAGATGAGGTTTTGGACAGAGCTAGAAAAAAAATAAAAATGTGTCTACTTGAATGACCTTCCACATCCAAATTAAATTTAAAAAACAAAATACAGAAACTTCAAAAAATTACATGTTAAATAAGGGAGTAGAAAGCATAATAATGTCCTGTACCACATTTGTTTGTATGTTTTTAGTACAAAGTTGCACAATGGTCTAGTGCTGAGTCTGCTGTAGAAATCAAACCCTGAATTATAGCAGTATAAGTCTGGAAGCCTAATACAGAACAAGCATGAAATCATTATTTGTTTCCAGTGTTTAATAAAAAGCAGCACATCTTGAACTTCATGACATATGAGAACTTGGAGGTGGTATCAAGGTTGAAAAAGCTGGTGGACAACTAGATGTGTGAATGAGTAAAATAAAGTATAGAGAGTAGTTGTACTAGCTGTTAGTAAGTCATGACACAATCAGTTAAATATCTGCATATTCTCTCACTCTGTAGTAACACTCCTATAAACATAATTAAAGTACTTAGCAAGGTGCAGCCCACTTTTCATTTTCTTGAAATCCTTTGGCTGTTCAAGAATTGTATTACCTGAAAAAAAAAAAATCAATCTGTCCACAAAGCATGTTTTAAAAATCTTAATTTTAAGTTTCATTTGTAGTTAATCTTATTTGGGTGAACTGGGGGGGGGGGGATACCATTTTCTGTCTCTCCTGTTAAAAGCTGAGGGACTATGGACCCTCTGGCCTTCCTTATGGGTGATTAAAATGATTAATTTAAATTACTGTTTTCAGTTATTCCAACAACCAATTAATTAAAATTATGATTAAATCAGTTGTCATGAAAGTAGTTAACAAATAAGAGGGAATCCTCAATAGTCACAGCACTTAATTCTTTTAGGCAGGATTATAGTAAATTTATCTGCGAGACCTTTTTTTTTTCAGCTATATTTATATATAAACTCAAACTGAAATTCTTTTAGGTAAGATTAGAATAAATTAATCTGAGACCTTGGGTGTGGTCAAATACATCAATTAAAAGGGTTTGATCTCTTGAGTCCAAAAATTCTAATTAAACATCATATCCGTAAAGAGATGACAGAGCTATGAGCTAAAGGTTTGTGCTTGAAGAAACAAACAAACTTGGAGCCGTTCTATGAGCTGTTATGTCATGGCTAAAAATATGGGTTTCTGATCGCCCAGCTATACCCATGATTAGTTTCATGTTTCTTGTTTTTGTTTGTGATTTTTTCTGTAAACTGTAAGAACTTGCACACATAGATTACTTTTTCAAGTAACTGGTAACATCAAATGATAAAAAGAAAACACAAAAATTGTTTCCCTTCACTAACCTAAAAATTTATGATAAGTTCAGTTTTTGCAAAAGGCAAGACTTGTCTTTTTTTTACTAGCATAAAGAAGTCATTATAAAAAATGTTGAAAATGATGTTTACAAATTATAAATAAGAAGTAATACTGACAGAAAATTAATCAATTGATTTCTTTTTGTATTTTCTAAAAATTAATATACATAATATCCACAAAGAATGAAAACCTTGTGGGAATATTGGATTAATAGTACGTTTGAATATCTTAATATTTGGACAAGAGCACATACTTGTATATACATTCTTATTGGAATTTTTTTATAACCTGTCAAACTATTTTTATTGTTATAGTTGTGGTTTAAAAGAACTATTGGTTTGACTTATTAGTACTTATTATTTTTATGGTTTCAAAAATTTGTTTTAATGCTTTGAATCCAGTGTGTGAATTAAGTATATTATATATACATGTGTGTGTGTGTATATACTTCAAAATATTTTTCTTCTCACTCAAGTTAACTTGATTAAAAGGCTAAATAAGGATTAATTGTTAAGGGCTAATAAACAATATTTTTAGCCATCCTTTATATATTATAGTCATGTTCACTTATCTTTTACAACCATTGAAAAGGAATTTGTAAATGTAGATATGCTTTAAGCGTTTAGATCCTTGGTACTATTGCTATATAATTCAACAAATTATTCTATTCTTTGTTTAGAGTAAAATGTTTTAGATAAAATGCAACTTAAGGCTTTCTAAACATTCTAACTTTTAAGTAACCTCACAGTATCAGATGATTGATGCATTTGTTCCATAAGTATAACCTCTTAGCTGTTAATTTTTATTTATTATAAAGACATATTTTAAGTGATTTTCAATTTATTAATTATGATATAGAAATCATGCAGTTTGATATACATGTAGATGGATAGATATGTGGATTCAGATGTACTTACTAAGTATGTTATTTTTGCTATACATGAAATAGATTATACCATTTATTTCTTCATTCAGTATGAAAGTTAGGCTTAGAATATATCTAAGGTGAAAATAGTAACAACAAAAAATGTAGAACATCTGAATTTCCATTATTTTTTTTTTAGGAATTAACATCTGTTGTCCACATGTTTTTATACACTAATTCTTAAACAAGATGCAACTCACTTTCTAATTTTATGACTTCTTTGTCATGACAGTGTCATACCAGACTCAAAAGGTTTTGTTTTGCATTCATTATTTACTGAGTAATTCTACCATGCTTTAAAAGAAGGATGTATCTTCATGAAATTTTGTGGTTTCTCAAGAATTGATTACACTGAGAGAACAGTGCCACCCTGCCACACAGAGGACATTTTAAAGGGTCTTTATTTTAATTTTGTTTTTATTTTATTCTATTCATGGTATACTGGGGGACTATACCACTTTCTAGTGCCCACTTTGATTCTATGCAACATTCATATTAAGTTTTTAAAATGCCTTTCGGTCAATATTCTTATAATTTCATTGTTTTACATGAGTTATTCCAGTATTGAAAAAAAAAAAACATTGTGTTTTACAGGGTCGTCACACCAAGACTGGTCAACTTGCAGCTATCAAAATCATGGTCGTTACTGAGGTAAGGTTTCTTGTAAAGTTATTAATGAAAAAACAAAATATGTTGCTAACATTGTTATATAGTAACATGCCATAAAACATGTATATATTGTGTTGATTTTATTAAATACCGTGAGTTCAATTTGTCAAAATTACAAAATCAGTATTAATTCTTGTGTAGTATGAATTTTAGTGGAAAACTTATAACATAGACAACAAAATGAATGTCTCAAGATGTTACAGAGATGCAGAGGAAAATGTTTCTCTACAAGTTAGGTTACCATTTCAGGAATTGGTTTTGTAATTTCTTTATGCTAATCACCTGTTTTTTTTTAGGTCAGAGATATAAAACCTAGTTCGGTGGAAAATAAAGAGAAAAGAACTGTTGTTAAATAGCTAAATTAGCAGTATAAATATCTGTATAAAACACAAAATTATGAATTTGAGAGAGAAAAGGTTTCAAGCTGCTAAAATGATATAAAATTAACAAATTAATTACTTGTGATGCTTGTACTTATGTGATGTACTATTCTAGAGACCTTTTGAAAGTATTGGGAGCATGCTCTCAGAATGGTCAAATGTTCTTTAATAGAATTGGAAGCAGCTGTTAGAATCTAGATGAAGGCTTACTTTACAGAGAAGTAGCAATTAATTTGTCCAGTGGTCATGAATAAGCATATTAATACATTTGCAAATTCCAGATGGCATGTCCAGATGATACTGAGATGTCAGAGCATGCTGTAGATAGGAAGAAACCCCAGAAATGTTTAATTACTTCTGTAACATAGGGCAACAATTTTTAATTGATAGTTTAAGCAATAGAGGAACTTGATAGATGTTTTGAGTTAAGATAATACAGCATCATTTTTGGCTCAGATTAAGATTGTAAAATATTTTATTTGCTTATTCTTACTTCTAAAATAATTTTTTTTTCTATCCAAGTTTCTCCTGTATAGTGTACTTCTTCTGATACAAATTATATAAGTAACATGATATAGTGTTATTTACAAGGAAAAAAAGAAATTGGTTTTTGCATTTACACTTACAAAAATGAGAGAGATTTTTTCGTTTTCGAATTTGGTGTTTGTTAAAGGAAATGTGTGTTAAAAAGACTACTATGGGTAGTAGTAAACTTGGTCTTAATGCAGAAGTTGAGAATGTTAAACCAATTTTGGAGCATCACTACATCATTACTAGTCTTATGTCACCATGTCAATTCCTGCTCTACCTGATGACAGTGTATCTTGACAGTACCCTTGCAGCATAGTTTCCATGGATAAAGGCTCTGGTGTAAGATTATTATGTCAAAAATACATTATTCTTCCCTGAATGCATTCCATAATCCAGCAGTCAGATTGCAAAGCAATCCAATGACTTGACCTGTATTTGTATGTTTTAATATAAAATAGAATGAATACTAATTTTATTATCCAGCTGCTTTGAGATATGGAATGGTTGAGTGGGAGATATGACTGGAAGTGTCATCTTGTTGAACCCATACCCTGTTGGTTTTGTTTCCAGATGGAGAACCTTCTTGTTTATCATATGTACTGTTGCCTGGGGCATGTGGATGGCTTTTGCCACTACTCTTTGTGTTTGTGGATTCTTGCCTGCTACAAGATGCTGAAATTTGCTTATCATGGCTTGGGTATGACTTCTAATAGGTCTCTTTCTGGAAGGTTCTTGTGTTTCTAAGTTATTTTCCAATTTCATTAAGTACAAGGGATATCCCCATCTTGGAAATTCTAAAACCCCAAATTTCAACATATCTTTATGATCTGATTGTATGAATATATTGTTCTGAAAAAGGCTATTAAATACCCTTCCAAAGAGCAATCTCATTTCATTAGCATCACACTTGCTGTAGTGTCATATTACTTGCTGATTTGCATATTCAAAATCATCTTATTTTAATGTGCTCAACGTTTGTAGTGTTGCAATTAGGCAACTTAATTTTTATTCTAATGAGCTACATAAAATTATGCACGCATGTTTAATCACACGAATACCATATAAGAAATGTATCTGATTTTTACATGGGATTAAAGTTATACATACAATTAGAAAACTGAATATCATAGTATGGTTTTTACCAGAAAATCATAATATGATTTTAACAGGTTTGGTACCACAGAACCACTTAAACCATTATTGTTTTTTGCAGTATCAATTAGTTCTAAAGAAAGAGTGATATATTGCTTGAATTTGTTTTTCAACTTCCAACACCAAACTAGTTGATGCTTTTACTTTCACCAGTTAAAACTTCTTGAAGTAATTAAATAAGAGGCCTGAAGTATGTATTAATAGAAGCGCCTTTATGTTTTTGTTCAAGTAAAATAAATCGTCAGAGCATCACATTAATTAGTTAAAACAGCTTCTTTTTAAACTAGCTAGATACTTAAAATTGATCTACCAGTTTCATTATTTGTTCTGCCCTTTCAGATGGTTGGGTTGGATGAGTGATTTTATGAGGGCTGTTTTTAGCAAACAGAAGAAACGAGCAGCCTCCTTTGTGAGAACTAGCCAGATGTTCTACTTTCAGACTGATTTTGATTCTCTGGTGTACAGCGTGGAGCGATAGACCTCACATTGTTCTTGGGGAGTGGAGAGTTTTCCTCCTATGTATAGTTTTGTAGGATGAACCATTAAAGACTTGACCTTTTGGGAATATATATCTGTCAGATAATTTTACAGCTGGACTTCTTGTAGGGCGGGAGGACAAAAAAAAACCTGAAAGTATTATGACTAAGATATCCGTGCAGTACTGTTTGTTTGTGTCTGTGTTCCCAAGAGTCCCAAGGTGATGATATAGGTCAATGACATCGTTAAAAGCAGACAACTCCAAACTTATCAGTATTTTATAAAATTGTGATCGAATAAAATGAAGTAACCCACATCATGTTGTTTTTTATTAATATATTACAAAATAAGTTTATACTTGAAAGATGTTTTTAGCTTGTAGACATATTATTTAAATACTTCATTGTATCATATTATAATCATAAGAAAAAGCGCACAATTGACGTCATCAAATACCATAGTCTACTAGCGATTTGTAAAAAAAAAGAAAAAATCTATAACCAGTTCTCTTTACTTCACTTTATTTACACGTCTGACAATTATTATTTTATTTTTTTGTGTCAATAGCATGGTATGTAGACTTCGTAATCAGCCTTTTGAAAGCAGCTGTAAGTTGCCAAGTAGAAAAATTTAAGATGATTATTAACGTCAGCTATACAAGCATATATATTTTCGCTTGTGTATGTTAATTGTATATAATGAAGTACGGTGATAATAGTACACGTGCACTGCAGTGCTGTGTGATAAATCACTAAGCAGCCGGTGAAATTTAGTATGTTGGAATGCACGCGTGACTATGACATCGTTTCATGTGTGCCAAACGTATCTTTTCATTATTTTTACAGTACTGGATTCGAAAAGCACTCCATTGTGAGTATTCGTCAGATTTCAAATTTGTACCTGCGCTTTCCTATAGTACGTTTTTTTTTTTCTAAGGCGGTGTGTTAACGAATGAGACAAGATTTTATGTTTATAGTCCATTTTCCAACAGTGGATCACAACTTCAGAGAATGAGACTGGTTTTCACGTGACTGTTTGGCAGCTGGTTCGTGTTGCATTCTGCACCGTTTGTTATCGGAATATTCAAAGGGGAGTTACTTAACAAAAGATAGGTCGGCATTTGGGATTGGTTAGTTTTTACAGAAACTTGTACTGCGCTTGATGGAAACGGTAAACGCCTAAACAGAAAACGAAATCATATAAATGTAGTAATATCTAAAACTTATAAACAATATAATTTAATTACACAGTATACCCGTATCACCAACCCTAATACGAGAAAGAAAAAAAAAAGGTATAACGAGTTTATTCACGTATAGGAAGTTTTGAAATGAGATTTCAATAATATATTTAGCGTGTAAACTTTGAATTAGTAAATCAAGAAAATTCGAACATATGTTTCTTGTAGTATATTGGTCCATTGATTTTATTTATATATCAGAATGCATTTTTGTACGAGCATCCTCGTATCAAAGTTCATAACTTAAAACTCACAAAGAACGTCTATGTTTTTGTTATTGTTGTTTCATGGTTGGTATTATAAAAGTAATTATTACTAAAAATTCAATTTTAACCTGTAATTCGTAGAAATGTGGTGATTAATTGATTTAGTAATTGGTAATTTGTCATGAAACTGATTAATAAAAAATGCAACTTGTTTCATGGTTGGTATTATAAAAGTAATTATTACTAAAAATTCAATTTTAACCTGTAATTCGTAGAAATGTGGTGATTAATTGATTTAGTAATTGGTAATTTGTCATGAAAATGATTAATAAAAAATGCAAATTTTGAACCCTTCCATAACCACAAGTTTAAAGACTAAAATCATTAACAATTTAATTTTTGAATCTTAGTGGCTGTTTATTGCTTCACATGTAAATCTCATACAAATCGCGAAAACACTTCCGCACTTCATGCCTCTACTGGCACAATGGTAAGTCTGCAGACTTGTGACACTAGAAATCGTGTTTCGATATCCACGAGGGCCATAGCACAAATAGCTCATTGCATAGCCTTGTGCTTAATTACAAACAAATATTCACTTCATAAAAAAATAGTCACCTTCTTCCCCCACTTTTCACGTCATAGACCCACAGGTTCTCTAGAACATTCAAAATTTTGTACATCTTTCTGGCATACAATTTACCCAACAGCTTAGACACACTGGCCTGAAGACGGAACACTTTCGAAACATCGTCCTCTACGCTTGTTATTTCTACAACAGGCATGAATACTCTGCATAAACAATTCTGTCAAAGAATTACTCAATACTATTCACAGTTTTGGTAATTAACAATGAAGATGCAATTGAAACTAGTATGCTTTCAATCTTGTAATTAGCAGGTCACTTATTCAACTGCGCAGTGTCAAATCATGAAAATAGCTGCGAGCAGTTGTATATTTGAGAAAGAAATCTTGAATATTAACATTTTGCCTTTTGTTTTTCCAATAATTATTATGCCTAGACTTTGTCTAATCACTGACTTGTTAGGCATAGAGCAAGGCGGATTTTACGAAGTAAACGCTGAGTGAGTTGCCATATTTTTACTACATGGTAAGTTATATCAAAGTCCGCTGATAAAAGGTTCGCTCGTTTCGTTGGTTTGAATTTCGCGCAAAGCTACACGAGGGCTATCTGCGCTAGCCGTCCCTAATTTTGAAGTGAAAGACTAGAGGGAAGGCAGGTAGTCATCACCACCCTCCACCAACTCTAGGGCTACTCCTTTTTTTCAATGAATAATGTGATTGACCCTTACACTATAACGCCCCCACGGCTTAAAGGGCAATCAAGTTTGGTGGGATGTACACCTTGGTCTTGGCTGGTCAGACGTCTTGTTATTCTGAGGTAGTTATGGTGTCTCGACAACGGTTTTTGGGACAACTACTTGTCCCGGTTTTACAAACAGCCTTTAAATTAAATGTACTGTACTTCTTGACTATTTTTTCAGCTGCCCCGCCTATCGAGCATAGAAGAACGTGAAATAAAATGCTTTTTCTACCTTCAAAGGTTATGAATTTGATTTAAAAATTTAACTCTAGGGGGCAGCAGATGATAGCAGCATTATGCCTTTTTTACATGTTTTGACAGTAGTTAGTGAATCAGTTTTTAAAAGTTTTTACGAGTACAAAAACTATTTAACTATGTTTGTTTTAATATGCTTTTCAGAAAAATAGAAAATAAGTTTAATAAGTAAATATATATATATATATATATAATTTATATTCTGTGAACTTGTTATTTCTCGTACAGGTTTTTTTTTATTTAACTCAGTCTTCTGTCAGTGAAATGCCCTAGTTTATGGTTTAACTTTAAAGAATCCTGGATTAGTCACCCTACTTTGGGCACAGCGAAATTCCATTACTAAAAATAACTTTTAGTATGGCTATTGAAAAATATAACACTAATTACATAAAAATTCAATGTAATTTATTCTATTGAACAGATCTATAAATTCGTATCCTTTGTAAAATAGTCACATATACACTTTCTAAAACTTTTTGCAATCTAATGTAATCCTATGTCGATTCATTTGATACTGTCACAGTGACGTTATAGCACATCAGTTGACCTCGATAGACAGAAGTAAGGACGATTAATTGGACCATTAAATCATAACTAATTATCTGCTGCATGCCATTGAAGTTACTTTGTCATTTGTAAGAAGTACTAAAATAACGATAAAAATACACACATCTTTACCTTTATTAATGACTACTCAAAAGTTCCTTTAAATTTATTTTTCGTTTGCAGTAATTTAATATGGATTTCATATATATTATAATATAATTTAAGAAAGTGTTAATGCAATGTGAGGTCTTTAAATACTGCATTTATAAATATAAAACTTAGATCAAACTGGAACTACAGTAAAGCTCAAGTCATGGTCAGCACTTACTGATTTCAGTTTGACTACATTTTATTTATACCACACCATATATAAGCTCTCAATTATTATAAATTACTAGATTATTAAGAAGTTATCAAAATTGCAATCCTAAATAAACTGAAGTAGTAAGCTTATAAGCAACCTTTGGTTCTCTAACTGAACAGATGGGTGTAAGTTGTAGGGAGAAGTGTGAGCGTTTCATTGTATTTTTCATGTTTTCTGTAATGCAGATATATGAGGGATGTAGCAAAACTTGTTTATATTTTGAGATTTTTTGTAAGTCAGGTCTACAACTTATCCAAACATGAATGCATGAGTTGTATATCCAGTGGCACCTTATTATGTTTTTTTCATTTCAGAAATGTAAAACGTCTGGTAAATGGGCCATGTTTATGGGAAATTACTAATATTAATATATACAAAGACCTGTTCTTCTTTTTGTTCCTCATAACCATCTGGCTACTCTTGTGAACAAAAGGCCAAAGAGACACACTGAACTAGAAGTATTATAAATGACAAAGTTTAAAGGAGTGTGAAAACATACTGTTTGTTTGATCTCGTATGTGTGATCATCAGTGCAGTATGAAGTGTGAAGCATCAGGTAAGATTAGCGTTCCATTAATAGGGAACCTCAGTGGCCACCTGGTTTTCTTTGGTCTTCTTGTGAACAAAAGATTTGTTCAAAGGGGAGAATTCACACGTTCATTTACATTACTCTTTCAAGTTTGTCACCTTTCTTTCCATTTTGCAATATGAAAAATGGTGCTGGTACGCCGTACTGGTGCGTACTGTCTCAAAAAAAGCCCTGGTTATAGCAAATGGACTTTTATCCTGGAGCACTGTTTAAAAGACATTAAAGCCAGCATTTTTATATGATTCTCAACATATATGGTTGGCAGTGTTAGGTTAAAAAATGTAAACTAAGTGTTTTTTCCAAATAAAATATATATATTTTT